AGAACAAAATTAGAAAACAAAAATTCAACTTATTGAACTCTGAAAATATTTTAACTTTAATAAATAACAATATCATCCTTCTCTTTATAAACATTTCAGACTCTTACCACAACTGTACAGGGTAGAGGGTGTGGTGTTGAGGTGTTGTGGGGGGAGGGGGGAGACACGATGTGGGACATTGTATATTTACATGTTTATATGACACGAAAATCATATGAATATGAATAAGTTGTTAATGAACCAGAAAAAAGAGGTATTTATCACACAAACATCCTGTTATGTCTTATCATATGTCCATGTCATGAATATCATTAAACACATGTAATAACACTATTGTAATGTCACAATTAGTCGCATGTGGATTGTGACAAATAATTGTCTCAGTATTGACAATGTAATCAGATAATTTTATATATGTCACTAACCTGAAAGCTTGTGATATACCAAAATATTGAACTGGAGTAATAAATTTCATATTACGTTGACACTCGTGTAAGATTTTCTTTAAAGATACACCCAAAATAAAAAAGGAAAACACCCAAAATAAAAAAAGGATTCAATAAGTATGATTGTATTAGAACAGTGTATGTCAGTAAACAGAGAAAATTGAATTGCACGGCTCTTGGTAAAATATCACTTGTCCTAATTTGTATTACATGGTTAGTATGGGAAATCAACTAGACAGATAGTGAGAGTGACAGTTTAAGGGAATAATCAGCACATTTCTCAAATAATTATATCGAACTTAATTTTCAGTGAACTGTATACTAATTACTTTGATTAGTACAATTTTAGTACATATATACAAACAACACCTGTAAAGTTAGAAACATGCAGTATTTGAAAGCAATTTTAGTACATTTCAACTTTTTGTACTTGAAGAAATAATGATAACTTTAGAAATCAAACTGTTGTGTTGAAATTGATATAAAGATTAAAGCTATTGTAGGTAAGAGATTCACAGGTGAATGAGTGTGTTATCACAATAGTCATGTGACAATCATGTGAATCCAGTGCTAGTACTGTCAGTACTAGGACCCACCACATTGTATCATCAACCTGCCTATCTTGTCAATTCACCTCTGTAATAAGTATATAAACACGCTTTGTTCAGTAATTGGTCAGTGAACGCATGTCTTGTCGGGTAGTAAGGACACTGACATTTCCGACATATCCGTAAGATAATTGTTAAAGGAAGTAGACTTTATTTAAAAGCTTTATAAAAGTATAAACATTCGGTAAACAATTGCTTAATCTGGCTTTGTATAAGGTGTATACAAGCAACACTGACCGACATAAAGAACATTGACGTGAAGCTATGTACACACAGACTTGTGAATACTAGACAGTTAACACCGTTGATCACAACAACCACATGCAGGATATATAGACAGTGATCTCCACACTCCTCATCATATTATAGACAGCAGAGCATCGCACAACTCCTCCAGTGTGGCCCGTATATTCTGTATTGAATTTGGTATAAAATTTGTGGCACTAGAAGTGATTTGTGCCACCCGCCTCTGTTCACCACACAGGTACACAAAGGACTTATTAACGATACCAGCTGGTGGACCAGGGACAAAGACTTACCTGGGTGGAAATCACCATCCTGTATTCTGGGAGAGTACAAAGACTCTGACAAACCAGAAATATAACAAAGGATTTTTTATATAAATTTCGCTGGATGGAAGATTCATAAAAAAAATTGAGGAAGAATTTGGAGACAATATTTAATTTTCTGTGCATTATTATTCTATTTCTGTCGTTTAATATTGTTAATTCTACTGAAAAAAAACTGTCAGTATGGTTGTTGTAAATGCAAGATCTGAAAACATTTCAAAATACTCAAGACCACGTCCAAAAGCAAGCTGGAAGCAAAAATCTCTCATCATTATGGACCTGGAGGAGGTAGGAACATCAATTTTAAATTTAACTTTGATGTAGTATTGTATGCTAGCTTAACATATATAGTGATAATGAGATAAAAGGAATATTTTGACTATTATGTTTATTTAATATTTATTATGCATTACTTTGAAATAAGTGATATCAGTAGATATTTTTAGGATAGCATTACATTTTATTAAAGGCTGGGTTTACCTGCCATGTGTACATTTTTGTACATGTGATTCTTACGTTTGTATAAATTTCTCATGTATTCAGTTTACGCATGATATGACTGGAGATTAAGGGCCTGAACAAGTATTTATAGGGTGGCCTATAGGTCATTGTGAATGTACATTTAAATAAATGTCCATTGTTTACTGCGGACAATCACATCTGGTGTGAAGAGCCTCTGTGACATTGACGTTCCGCCCGACACCTTCTTCTGTGTCTGGTTCTCGAAGGCCTTCCGTGATGGCGTTACAAGAATACGTTATACCGTTATGTATTTTGGTTCTCCTGTGGCTTTAGAATATGATATATTAAAACACCATTTTGTGGTCTGGGTCTCTGTGACTTCAGAAGGATATGCTTTTCCATTAGATATTGTGTTCTGTTTCTGGTCTACTTATAACTACTGTCTAACACTGATATAAGAACAACAAACCATACAGTGTATTGTAAGTGCTTCATGTGTGTGGTTTTTATTTTACGCTGTAAAAGTGAATCAACGTTAATGATAACACAGCTTATTACTTTATCCTACAATAAGCCCAGGGATGCCAACATATTATCATCAACTTGAATGGGCAGATTTACACCAATGTTATTAACCCGTGGGGCCAATATATTATCAGTCATAGTAAGGGATGGACTTATTAAGGGCAATGAGCCCTGGGGTCGGTACATAATTACTAAATATTTACACACAGTAAGATAATGGGGGTGGGGCAGGGGGACTGATTATAATAGGACTATATACCCATAAAGACAATATTTATTATCACAGAGTCATAGTAGGGGATGGACTTATTAAGGGCAATGAGCCCTGGGGTCAGTACATAATTACTAAATATTTACGCACAGTAGGAGGGTGGGGTGGGGTGGGGCAGGGCTGATTATGATAGGACTATATACCCATAAAGACAATATATATTCATTGTCTTAGGAGAAGGTGGGCTTATTGGCTAATCATAACAGGGCTATATATATTCATTGACTTAGTAGAAGGTGGGCTTATTGGCTAATCATAACAGGGCTATATATGGGGACAATATGTATGGTACTTATTGACTAACAGTAGAGGCTTAATACAGAAAGACCGACAAAATATAGACATTTCTTGTAAGTTAAAAGTGATATAAGGGGGTTTATTACCAAACAAGGTCATTTTTTCCAATAGATAGTGCAGTATATATGAATATATGTTATTTTCATTGTGTATTTATATATCATTTTTTTTTAAATGTTTTTATATAAAACCCAATTCCTTTATATATTTTTTTAAAAATGAATATGCACATGAGCGTTACTCATTCTCACGAGTTAACATTTTGCCGAGGGCCAGTTCAGTTTAAAATATGGTAGCTGTATGTGACGCATTTATATAATAGGCCATTAATGGCTGTAATTCTTAGACTGCAGTATAATTAATGTGGAGATGTATCATTATAAATTACCAAACTCAGATGTGTTCACAAAAAAATCCCTATCTCTGAACTCTAACTTTATGGAAACGTCATCCACCTTTTTCATCATGGTGCTGACGTAAACTGGTGAACTGAATGGATTCGTACCACTGTGTACAAGTTGATAAAGAGGTAATTAATTATTCCAAATTATGTTGTGTTTGCTTAGCTAATTAAAGCATCAGGAAAATTGAAAAAGCTTGGTTATCAGAGAGTAGTCTATACCAGTCGTCAACAAGATTCCTACTCACAAACAATCGTAATTCTTGTAAAAACTATTTGATGTACAACAATCACTCATGTCTTGTCACACCAACATGTTGTTTTCTTGGAATAGATTTGGGTTTATGACACACTGATGACATGTAAAGTATGCACTAAGGTCATAGTGAAGGTTACCTGTGGTGTGTTCTAACATATAAATATCTATATGTCAAAATTCTGGTTAGCTTTTCTTACTTCTCACATATACTCCCACTTGTTACAATGATAATAATTTAGAAATTAGAAATATGATCAGCTCATTTTCCTTTCCTGTCATTTGTTGTTACAAATCAAAAGTACTATGTATATGTTAATTATATTATTTTGTTCATAAATCATACCTTTTAGTTTTGTTTATAAAGTGAGGTATCATAAAGGGGGTTGTAGAATTAGTGATGGAAAAAATTCCCTTGTAATACCACCCATAATAAAAATGGTCTTTTCATTTTACAAAATGAAATTGCAGCAATTATTTTGGTAAGCTAACCATGCATAACACTGCTTAAGATTGATCATGTGATAATCAGTGTGGTCAGCTTTTTTCTGTGGTGTAATGTTTCTAGGTATATCTATGTGTTTTCTTTAACCTGTAGTTGTTTTGATATGATGCGTGATATTTTGTCACACTCTTGCGGTTCACAACAAGTATTGGGTCATTAATTTTGTTTTGATAAAGTGAGAAGTATATTTTTAAAACACGAGGAAATGAACAGTTGTATGCTAAGATGTATGATGGTGTGAAATACGTGCTGATGTATTTACTTGATGTATGTGTGGACATGGTAAATAGTATCTCTAGATCTTCGTATTTGTCTGTTTTAAAAATTAAAATGAGAAGTCAGATTTATGTGTGATCTTGAGTCACAAAGACAATCGTTATGTCTTTTTTTCAAATTACAGGGTCAAATTTTATGCTGTCTTCAAATTAACCTCTATTGTCAACAGCTGATTTGTCATTGAAAATAAAATTGACAAATGTGGTTTGTTGCTGATGTTGAGAGATCATTCAGAAAATAAATGTGCTGCAAATACTACACTGAATTCATAAGATTTGCTTATTGCAATGTATTATATAAGAATTCATGATGACAATTCAAAGAAAGGTATGAGAAATTTAATAAATCATATTTAATTGTAAAATTTCAACATTTGTTGTTTCAGGCACAAGCACCAAAGCCACAGACAACTCCAGGTCCAATCACAGTACCCACACCCACGCAGCCTGCTTCGACCCCTAAACAGGACCTGTCATTCCAGTCACCAGGGCAACAGAGTCAGTCCTCACAGTCCTCTGGCTCCACCACCATGGATTTACTCGGGGATTTAGGAGGTGATCCATTTGCTTCATCAGCCCCACCGCCAGCCCCATCTACAGGTGGAGGTGTGTATATACATATAAATAATTTGACTGCTAGAAGACATTATGTGTCATCCAAATATATAGACATGAAATAAAAGGTAAATTGTTTCACTAATCCAACATATCCTACTTCTTTTGAGTGTCAACCCTGCAGTTATTGGTGTTTGCAAGGAAGTTTGAATGAAGTCAGATTAATTTCTAACCTCCCCTCACTATTTCTGTTCTGTAATTAAGCAGGTTAATTTCTAATCTCCCCTCACTATTTCTGTTCTGTAATTAAGCAGGTTACGGTAATTTCTAACCTCCCCTCACTGTTTCTGTTCTGTAATTAAGCAGGTTAATTTCTAACCTTTCCTCACTATTTCTGTTCTGTAATTAAGCAGGTTAATTTTCTAACCTACCCTCACTATTTCTGTTCTGTAATAAGCAGCTTAATTTCTAACCTCCCCTTACTATTTCTGTTCAGTAATTAAGCAGGTTAATTTTCTAACCTACCCTCACTATTTCTGTTCTGTAATTAAGCAGGTTAATTTCTAACCTTTCCTCACTATTTCTGTTCTGTAATAAGCAGGTTAATTTCTAACCTCCCCTTACTATTTCTGTTCTGTAATTAAGCAGGTTAATTTCTAACCTACCCTCCCTATTTCTGTTCTGTAATTCAGCAGGTTATTTTCTTACCTACCCTCCCTATTTCTGTTCTGTAATTAAGCAGGTTAATTTCTAACCTACCCTCCCTATTTCTGTTCTGTAATTAAGCAGGTTAATTTCAAACCCTTCACTATTTCTGTTCTGTAATTAAGCAGGTTAATTTCTAACCTACCCTCACTATTTCTGTTCTGTAATTAAGCAGGTTAATTTCAAACCCTTCACTCTTTCTGTTCTGTAATTAAGCAGGTTAATTTCTAACCTACCCTCCCTATTTCTGTTCTGTAATTAAGCAGGTTAATTTCTAACCTCCCCTTACTATTTCTGTTCTGTAATTAAGCAGGTTAATTTCTAACCTACCCTTCCTATTTCTGTTCTGTAATTCAGCAGGTTAATTTCTAACTTACCCTCCCTATTTCTGTTCTGTAATTAAGCATGTTAATTTCTAACCTACCCTCCCTATTTCTGTTCTGTAATTAAGCAGGTTAATTTCTAACCTACCCTCCCTATTTCTGTTCTGTAATTAAGCAGGTTAATTTCTAACCTACCCTCCCTATTTCTGTTCTGTAATTAAGCAGGTTAATTTCAAACCCTTCACTCTTTCTGTTCTGTAATAAGCAGGTTAATTTCTAACCTTTCCTCACTAATTCTGTTCTGTAATTAAGCAGGTTAATTTTCTAACCTACCCTCCCTATTTCTGTTCTGTAATTAAGCAGGTTAATTTCTAACCTACCCTCCCTATTTCTGTTCTGTAATTAAGCAGGTTAATTTCTAACCTACCCTCCCTATTTCTGTTCTGTAATTAAGCAGGTTAATTTCAAACCCTTCACTCTTTCTGTTCTGTAATTAAGCAGGTTAATTTCAAACCCTTCACTCTTTCTGTTCTGTAATAAGCAGGTTAATTTCTAACCTTTCCTCACTAATTCTGTTCTGTAATTAAGCAGGTTAATTTTCTAACCTACCCTCCCTATTTCTGTTCTGTAATTAAGCAGGTTAATTTCAAACCCTTCACTCTTTCTGTTCTGTAATTAAGCAGGTTAATTTCTAACCTACCCTCCCTATTTCTGTTCTGTAATTAAGCAGGTTAATTTCTAACCTACCCTCACTATTTCTGTCATATACTTAAGCAGTAAGATATTTTTTTATGGCCTAAATAGAAAAGAATCTTGCAAGAAAAGTAAGGATCTTCTTAACATTTGTTTGGGATACAGGTGAAGGTCTGGTAAGTGATGATAAATGTACCAATTAATATTGGCATTGGATCTCAACAAAGCAAGATATGTTGGATGTGTATCACTATTAAGTATATATACGGTATACAATTGTAGTATGACATGTTTAAGAAAAGAACACAGGCACACTCCCTTGACACTTGTACACATAATCACACTTCCTCCACTCTTGTCTCGTTCAATTATCATGGTCCCATCACTTCATAATGGCTTGCAATTATATACTCTACAGCTTGAAATGTGTTTTGTGCTTATAGAAGGTAATTAGTCATAAATTATAAATGCACTGAATTTGGAAATAGGAAAAGCTATTTGATTTTAGAATTTTCAAATTTCAAAGATTGATAACTAGATATTATTGATTAATGGTGTCTGGTCAGCAATCCAACATATTCACAAATGATCATCCCATTAAAATCTTCATATAAAATCCATCAACATTCACAGGTGATGGCCCAATTAAAATCTACATGTGAATTTCAACATCATTCACAATAGATTGCCCCCATTAAAATCTACATGCAAATCCAACATCATTCGCAAGTGATTGTCCATTAAAATCTACATCTAAATGCAGAGTTTATATTATAGGGGTTCTACCAGACAATGTCTGGAGGTTATAGATTTTATGTCCTGGCCAGTCCAAATTTTCTTTCTCTATATACCAACATAAAATTGGTTTATAGGACATGGTCTGCCGGAAGTCTGCCATTGACAAGATTGTCTGTAGTGTAATATGGCTAGGATTGTACATCGTCTCTGTAGTATTTCAGGTTTTGTTCCTCTAGTGTAACAAATTTAACTTGATTTACCAGTTAAACTTAAGTAACATAATTAATCTTAAGATGTTATATTTTTATGATCATTGTTCAGATGTAGTTCAATATCAGCATAACCCAAACAATTTTTGTCTAAATATAAAAAATTTAAATATTCATAATCCTTTTGTATATTTTGTAATTAATTTGAATAGTTAAATTGACTGTGGTTAAGAGAAACAATAAGTATTATTAAAAAAACAATGTCAAGTGTCTAGCCTCACAAGATCCTGGTACAACATCCTGGTGCGTAGATAACTGTGTATATTATGTTTAACCTATGCTCGCAAAGCCTTGTCATAGTTATTTATTTTCATCAGAGTCCTTTGATAGCTGTAAACTACAACGGAAAATACATATGAGCAGATTCAAGATGGCGTTATTGAAAACAAACATTTTTTATATGTTAAAAATGTGTTTATACATCTAGATAAAAATTGTTTTGTTATTTTTCTTAACACTTAAACTAACTAGGCTGATGATATCTGTGGCTGTTTGAGCTGTAGTACCAGTGTAGTGTTGGCACCAAAGTCTAATAAATTACAGAGAAAGATAAAAGTTCAACTTAGATATGATGTAGGTACCATACTGTCACAGTTACAGAACTGACATACATGGTACCATACTGTTACAGAACTGACATACAATGTACCATACTGCTACAGAACTGACATGCAATGTACCATACTGTTACAGATACAGAACTGACATACAATGTACCATGCTGTTACAGAACTGACATACAATGTACCATACTGTTACAGAACTGACATACAATGTACCATACAGATACAGAACTGACATAACATGTACCATACAGTTACAGAACTGACATAAAATGTACCATACTGTTACAGAACTGACATACAATGTACCATACAGTTACAGAACTGACATACAATGTACCATACAGTTACAGAACTGACATACAATGTACCATACTGTTACAGTTACAGAACTGACATACAATGTACCAAACTGTTACAGATACAGAACTGACATACAATGTACCATGCTGTTACAGAACTGACATACAATGTACCATGCTGTTACAGAACTGACATACAATGTACCATACTGTTACAGAACTGTCATACAATGTACCATACTGTTACAGAACTGACATACAATGTACCATACAGTTACAGAACTGACATACAATGTACCATACTGTTACAGAACTGACATACAATGTACCATACTGTCACAGTTACAGAACTGACATACAATGTACCATACTGTTACAGTTACAGAACTGACATACAATGTACCATACTGTTACAGAACTGACATACAATGTACCATACTGTTACAGAACTGACATACAATGTACCATACTGCTACAGAACTGACATGCAATGTACCATACTGTTACAGATACAGAACTGACATACAATGTACCATACTGTTACAGAACTGACATACAATGTACCATACAGTTACAGAACTGACATACAATGTACCATACAGTTACAGAACTGACATACAATGTACCATACAGTTACAGAACTGACATACAATGTACCATACTGTTACAGATACAGAACTGACATACAATGTACCATGCTGTTACAGAACTGACATACAATGTACCATACTGTTACAGAACTGACATACAATGTACCATACTGTTACAGAACTGACATACAATGTACCATACTGTTACAGAACTGACATACAATGTACCATACTGTCACAGTTACAGAACTGACATACAATGTACCATACTGTTACAGTTACAGAACTGACATACAATGTACCATACTGTTACAGAACTGACATACAATGTACCATGCTGTTACAGAACTGACATACAATGTACCATACAGTTACAGAACTGACATACAATGTACCATACAGTTACAGAACTGACATACAATGTACCATACTGTTACAGAACTGACATACAATGTACCATACTGCTACAGAACTGACATGCAATGTACCATACTGTTACAGATACAGAACTGACATACAATGTACCATGCTGTTACAGAACTGACATACAATGTACCATACTGTTACAGAACTGACATACAATGTACCATACAGTTACAGAACTGACATACAATGTACCATACAGTTACAGAACTGACATACAATGTACCATACTGTTACAGAACTGACACACAATGTACCATACTGTTACAGAACTGACATACAATGTACCATACTGCTACAGAACTGACATGCAATGTACCATACTGTTACAGATACAGAACTGACATACAATGTACCATGCTGTTACAGAACTGACATACAATGTACCATACTGTTACAGAACTGACATACAATGTACCATACAGTTACAGAACTGACATACAATGTACCATACAGTTACAGAACTGACATACAATGTACCATACTGTTACAGAACTGACATAGAATGTACCATACAGTTACAGAACTGACATACAATGTACCATACTGTTACAGTTACAGAACTGACATACAATGTACCATACTGTTACAGATACAGAACTGACATACAATGTACCATGCTGTTACAGAACTGACATACAATGTACCATGCTGTTACAGAACTGACATACAATGTACCATACTGTTACAGAACTGACATACAATGTACCATACAGTTACAGAACTGTCATACAATGTACCATACTGTTACAGAACTGACATACAATGTACCATACAGTTACAGAACTGACATACAATGTACCATACTGTTACAGTTACAGAACTGACATACAATGTACCAAACTGTTACAGAACTGACATACAATGTACCATACTGTTACAGAACTGACATACAATGTACCAAACTGTTACAGAACTGACATACAATGTACCATACTGTTACAGAACTGACATACAATGTATCATACTGTTACAGAACTGATATACAATGTACCATACGGTTACAGAACTGACATACAATGTACCATACTGTTACTGTTACAGAACTGATATACAATGTACCATACTGTTACAGAACTGACATACATGGTACCATACAGTTACAGAACTGACATACAATGTACCATACAGTTACAGAACTGACATACAATGTACCATACTGTTACAGATACAGAACTGACATACAATGTACCATACTGTTACAGATACAGAACTGACATACAATGTACCATGCTGTTACAGAACTGACATACAATGTACCATACTGTTACAGAACTGACATACAATGTACCATACTGTTACAGAACTGACATACAATGTACCATACTGTTACAGAACTGACATACAATGTACCATACTGTCACAGTTACAGAACTGACATACAATGTACCATACTGTTACAGTTACAGAACTGACATACAATGTACCATACTGTTACAGAACTGACATACAATGTACCATGCTGTTACAGAACTGACATACAATGTACCATACTGTTAGAGGACCAACTGAAGAATTACGTAGGAACCGTATAGGAATAATGAAAGAATGATGTAGGATTGGTGTGGTACCATTTTAGGACTGATTTAGGAATGATACAGGACTGATGTAGGACTAATGTGGTACTCATTTTGGATTTTGGTTGAATGGAGAGAGGAGTAATATAGGACTGATGTTTGCTAATGTGTATATGATGTATGAGGTACCAGGGTATAAATTGATGTAGAAAGTTCACAAAACATAGGAAATAGGATGGGCAGAATCTTCATCACACTGAAATATAATTTTTCATTTTGTATTAGATGGTGATTCATTTGATACAGACATACAGTGGCATAAAAATAATGATGTGTTACTATACCAGATAGACTGAAGAACTTAATCTGATAAATTAGAGGTTCGTTAATCATAAAGGGTCCACAATATTAGAAACCAAATACCAAATAAAGAGAGATAATCAGATGATTAACTCCGTTAAATGGAAATTATCTACTGATGACTGGTTCAGATCATAGCTGACATATACAAGCTGTCCCTTAAGATTTTTATAGAGGAAAGTAACTAGAAGATAACAGTACCAGATTGGAAGAGAGGGATTGGTCAAGATTGTGTAATACCACCTTCATAGAGGCAAAGGAAGTAGGGATGCTTAGTAATTCATTGTAAATAGACTTTGTGTGAATATATGTACTTTTCTTTGATCTTATATTGTTTCTCAACTTGTCTCCAGTCTCTGAGGTATATAATCATGTACCAGAAGTTAACACTATCTGACCTGTCCTATTATGTGTGTTCTTGATGATGTTGATTAGATATATTAGTTCTAAGGCATACGATATGTAGTACATGTGCTCCATTGAGAAATAAATTGATACTTCTGTAAAGAAAAAGTATACTCTGTTCTGTCATGGTCCACAGATATTTTTTCATCAAAGTACCAATCTGTTAAATGTCTTAATGTATGAGTTTGAAATAGGCAGATTATTTTGAGTGTGTTGTTGCTTACTTGTTACTCCTCAGATTTATTGAGTGTCTTGTCTATAATATAGGTACTAAAGAAATCATTTGGCAATTAAAATCTTATGTATCAGATATGTACTGTTATATGGGGATATTGGGGTGGGGGGGAGGATATTAGATTTCATGGATTTCCTAAAACAATACTATTTCATGGCTTCTTCTTTTCATAGATATGGTGCCTTAGAAATCTACATCCAGAATTTTAGTGTTCCAAAGAAATCAATTAAAATAAACTAAATTCTTCATGAATAAACTATCTGAGTAGTGTTACTGTATTAATCTGGCATGATGTCTGGTAATAAGCCCACCCATATCTATTGCTGTAGCTTTCTCTAAAAACATATCTGTAATGATCAGGTATACTCAAATCTATTGCTTAATTTGTATGTAACATTGCCATCAAATGTTTATTTAAATGTTCTGTAATAAGCCCATGTCTGGTAATTAGCCCCATATGTACTGTCACCTTACCATTAAAAGTGTATTCAAATTCCCTGTAATCGACCCACCTCCTGAGTCAGAGGGAATATGCTGACACCTGTGGCTTGTTACAGGATACATATTGTAAATAAGTATATCAATCATCGTTTAGATATTGAGTACCTTATATTCCAATACATAGATAGTACTGTATACAGATTTTGTGACCAGATGGTGTATGTATTATGATAATATGTAATATTGTTGATATTTATTTAATATGATGTTTATTTCAGGCGGTTTTGCAGATTTTAGCAACTTTAATAGCCAGTTTTCAGCACCAGCACAAACCAACCTTCCCTTTCAATCTAGCGGCAGTAAGTACACCCCAACCTCCTTCCACTCTTCACCAATCATATCCTCCATATAATCAACCTCCACATCAGCCAAATCCTTCCAATCTCTCATGGGTGTATCATCTAGATATTTTAACTCAGAGGGGAGGGGAGGTACATATCAAACTTGGCATATTACATCCTTATGATATGAAGTTGTGTCCTTTCGCTTTTTGTAAAATTTCAACAACATTTAGTAGAGTGATGCCCCTTTTTGTAGATATTCCGTATGGTATATTGTGTCAAATAGATTTAATAAAGTACAGAACCAATGTTTCTCAATCTTGACATACTACATCCCTATGATATATGGTTGTGCCCTTTGGTGCTCAATACAATGGTTAATTTGTATATATTACTATGTCTGTTGGAGTAGGGGAAGGGACAAAGCACTGCTAAGGTGCTGAATTTCCTTTATGATTTTGTTACCATTCCAGGTATTGTCTGGTGTTTTGTTAAAGGGTTTGGATAAGATACCATCCATGACTAGAAGTGTTATTTTTGTCGTCTATTATTTCAGACCCACTTGTTCCCATGGGAAGTGTGGCCCAAGCTAATCCACAGACCACAGCAAATGGAGTTTTCTCCACCCCACAGTCCACCCCAGCCTCAACACCAGCTTCCTCCGCGGCAACTCAAGGGGGAGATAAGTATGCCTCACTGGCTGATCTCTTCAGCTCAGAACCAGCTGCTACTACCCAGCCAAGTCCCTCAGTGAGCTGGACTGGTGGCTCTGGTGATACAGGGTCAGGTGTAAACTGGGGAGGCAGTGGTTGGGATGGATCAGGGGTCAAAAGCACCCCAGCTCCAGTTCAGACACCAACCTCAGCAGTTAACTGGAATAGCCAACCCAATGCTGCAGTCAATACTGGTGTCAACTGGAACAGTTCCTCGTCTACAAATGCCACATCTTCCAATGCGTTTCCAAATGCAGGTGAGACCAGGGTTTTCAAGAATATTTATGATGTAATTGCAAATATTAAAACACTTATACCGTTTATTTTCGGTTACTAGCACTTACTTTCTGAACTACTTCATATTTTTGTCCCAATATCTTCCCTACTAGATTTCTTTATTAATACTGTCTAGTGTAGCAAACTTGTCTGAATCTTTTACAATAAAAACCATCTAAGAATCTGGATGAAACCCCAATTTCAGGTTGGAATTAGTTATACTCTAATGTAAAAGATGGCTGAGGTTTCTCACTTAGTTTCTGTTCCCTTGACTTTAATATCAAATTGCTGTAAAAGTATTCTTGGATGAAGGGAGATAACTGTGTTAAAATGTTTATGGTACAGTAAATAATTATCATATTTTTTAAGACTTATTTTGAGTACCAGATAAAATCAATGTAATGATAACGATGACAGGCCCACCATCTAAACATCTATAAATCTCAGTAGGAATATGTGTGTTCTGTACAGAAGTTTTATAGTCTCTTTCATTTTGTCTGTAGAATGATTTTTTATTTAAAATTGTGTTGTGTGTTTTGATTGGTCAGCCTCACAGAGAGTTGGAAACCCAGGCAACCCCTTTATCTCGGCAGTGTCCGGTACAGTACAACTCGGTTGCCATGTCTTTACCATTCTAGTTAACTGCATGGCTCTTATGTTGGTTTCAAACATCCTGTTACTGGTTCTCAGTTTATTATAACTACCTGTGATGATGCTGGTTTATTTCTATAAACGCATAAATCACCTGAACATTTTGTTTATATTCTAAAAAAGGATTTGAGATTTAGCTGATTTTCTGATTTACAGATACATATGTTATGATGACAGGCACTTATCCATGGCGATAGTTTATTTGGTTAGAGCATCAATCTCTATATCTCTGATGAAGATTTGAGATGTGAAGATTGATGTTCCCTACCTCAGGCAGTGTTAGATTCTCAGGAAGCTGAGAAACTGATCAGTCAATGTTATAGCATTTGAGACTAAGGTCAAAAACAATTTACTGTAATTGCTGTATATGACATTGGCGGACCTCCAGTATGTTGTTCAGTGAGGCAGCCACCAGCAACTACAAGTAGAACCTGCCTTAAAACAACTCTGGCTTTTGACTGTGCAAAAAACCCAACAGCAGCAAAACAAAATGATCAGGCTGTTTGATCTGGCATAGAAAAATATTAATTTTCCGGTATTTTCCAAATTGAAAATATTGAAAGTTTAAAATAATGGTCCCAGAAATTGGATGAAACTGAAGACCATTTGTAAACCTAGACCATGTTTCATTCTTGCATGCACAGGTAGTTATTTCTGGTTATGCCAATGATTGAAGTATCCATGTCATTACTTCTTTGTTACTTTTGTAGCATCATTTCCTTTTTAAATCTATGTAATCCCATACAAGCCTGGTTGTATTAGCCAACATATCACTTTATATTAATATCATATTGTAAAACAGAAAAAAAACCATTAACACTGCATCAAAAAATTCCTATTATATAAAAAATTGCAGATAATACTAATAATTATACAAGTTATCATAAGTAACACTTAATAATACTAATCTGATTCCCCCAAAATATGATATATATATATATAAAAAGAGAGAGAGAGAGAGAGGGACAGAGAGACAGAGAGGGAGAGAGAGAGAGCCCACACTGGCTACATTACTTAACAATAATAACCTGATTTTCCCAGAACATGGTTTACATATATATATAGACAGAGAGCCCACACTGGCTGTATTACAAATTTAGGTCCTATTTTTGGGCTACTTTCATTGCCCCGTCAGTAATCGTTTAATGATGCATAAGGTTTGCATGAAGGTTCTTTTCAGTATGATATAGATGTCATTAAAGAGAGGTATTGATTGATAAAGGTTAATTAGATTATCTCATTCTTTCCTGGACTACCAAAAGGTGTAAGACTTTGTATCTTTATACAAATCAAACATGAAAAATGTCATTTGTTAGAACCTGATTTGTAGTGGAGAGAAATATGGTATAAAAGAAACCGTAACGGTTCAGTGTGCTTTTGAAAATCATCTGCTGTTTTAAAAATAGCTGTGAAACTACAAACTGCAATTTATCAAACATAGATAGATATTGATATAGGTATCATATCTTCCAGATTATTAGCCACACCCTTTTTTCTCATGAGACAGACTTTTATTCCAGTGCGGCTTTTGTGTGAATAAAAAAAAATTGGCTGGATGAAAAAAAAACAGGAAGCATATTTATTTTTAGAAGTATCTGTCTGTCATATGTTTATGACTGAGACAGATCCTCTTTAGCCGTCATTTGCAATCGTATACAGGACAATTTGAAGATTGAATTAAAAATTAAAAATTAATTAATCATACCTTTTGATATGAATCAGAATAATATTCTGGACTTTTGCAGTTACTGCGAAGCCATAGCAGTAGTTTACAATAGCCTTTTGCATCCTGGAATTGATAGGTCATCAAGTTATAGTTCCATTTCTAGAACAACCCTCATGCTTGATTACGATATGAATGGCTTCATGTAACTTAGAAATGATAATAATAAGAAGAAATAACGTGGGACTATAATAGTTTGGTCAGCTTACAAGGGTTTTTGTTAATGTTTAACAGTACAGACACTGATGGAGAGATTGTTTAGTAAACCATACGTAACGTCAGGCCGTATATCTGTGTATAGACAATCTGTGAAGGCATCCAAGCCAAATGAGTTTGATATTTGCTATTTTACATTTTTTAAATACATCAGTAAAATAAAGGATGATCTGTGTATAATTCATTTGCAAACTTTATTAAGTGTTTCACTAACAATCTTGGTAAGTTGCCCTCTGGTATCTGTTATATCAACTAACTTAACATAACGGTAACCACTTAGTAAGAACTGCCTTCCATTATCTGTTACCTGTATATCAAACATCAACTATAGTGGTCACCATATCGTAAGAAAGGGTGTGGCTTATATTCCATTGCAGCTTATATCTGGATCAATTTGAAAAAATTGCTAAAAACTGGCCCTGTGGCTTACATATCAATGCATACCAGCTTATAACCCAGAAAATGCAGTGAATAATATATATGTACTTTTTTATATTAAGGTAATGTGTATGTATACATTAGAACAATTTACAAACAAGAAACATGCCTGTGTAAACAAATAGTTGTAGCTTTTACACAGAATATATTTGTATGTATTTTATACAAAGTACTGACAGCTATCATTGTTTATATAATTTATATAACTAAAATGTATGTATATAAGCACATGTGTACATTAACACGAGAATGACACCATTGGTTGATTACAGCTGACCCTGTCCTATCATTTCTTATATTGGTTTCTGTCCCAAGGTTAAATGTTGAACTAATTTGAGAGTTGTAAATGAATTATTTTATTCACTTTTAATAGTGCAAGAAAATAAGATATAATATTTTAGTATTTGATTCAAAACACTTTTGATATATTATGAATCAAGGAAATGAAAGATAAGGAAAGATGTTTCAATGAATTTTCCTTGACTGACCTTAAACCTTATCTATCATTAAATAAGCCCCCTTCCCTACTGTAAAAGTTTAGTATCGTAGTGTGGGGAGGGCTTATTTGTGAATCAGTTTAAGCTCACTATTGATGAATCTGCAAAAATGGAGAAGGGGGGCTTACTTGTGTATAGGGGCTTATTTACAGATAAATATGGTATTGAAAGCTAGTCAAGGGGGCCAACACAGCTGTAGAGCATTGTAGGTACTGGAGGGAACAACAAAGGAAAGTGAAATTATGTAGGTATTTCTGAAAGATTCCAGTGGACATATGTGGGCTTATTACCAATCATGGGCTTATTATGGTAAATATGGTAATCCCATTTGAGACAGATTTGGGACATTCAACAATTAACCTGGACAGTTAACTGATTGGCTGTCTGCTGTTGCTTTATCGTGTATTGTCATGGTAACTGTTGCTATGGCTGTGCACATTATTTCTTTCTTTTTTCATCCATCTTGCTGTCTCTTGGTTTCCTCACCTCTCATTCTTGTCCTATATATAATTATGGAAGAGAAACACAATGGTTTATTGGGACAACTTTGGTAATGCTGGGTTACACTTGGTACATTTGTAAGTTATACCTCAGCATTGTATTACAGGCCATGTATTTAGTAGTAAAAAGGTCACGGTTCGCTACATTCAAGGAAAAACTACAAGTAAGTTGTACATACCAAAGATCTTCAATATTTTAAGATTTGTAAGATTTTTGCCAAAAAATGAATTTTAGAACTACAAGATTGAAATTTTAGTGTGTTTCTGAATGACTCACCAAAAAAGGGATTTGATACTGACAGTATGTATTATTACAGACTGTACACGGAAAGTGTTGTGAGATTTAAGGGCACCTCACCTACATTATACCATGTATAACAAAATAGCTAGTGTTGGCAGTTTTAAATGTTCAGAAATAAAAATTGTGTTAACTAAGTTTTCTGACATAATTTATTTTTCCTGCACTGAATCGTGCAATTTACATAATTTGACTTCCACTTGTGCACTACTGATAGATTTCACCTGTACAATGTACTAACATAACCTTGCTCGTTAGATTAAGTAATGTAGTAAACTTTCTTAATCACTTCTAATCAGGTCATATTTTGAGACTGTGCATTGGAAATGAAGAAGCATGATTAAAACCAGATTTCTCTCCATGATACTAGAGAGATAACATGAATAAGGAAGGCAGGATTATATTGAGTGTATACAGGGAACCAGTTTATAATATAACTGTCTGTATTTTCACATAGATTTTACTTTATCAATTTGTTAAGCTGTATATATATGTAATTCTGATACTTTTAACTGGATATAAAGAATGCCAAATAATTATATTTTAACTTTGTTACATTAGTGCTTTTCTAATCTAACTATCCACTAATTTTATTTTAAGAAGATCTTGTATGATCCAGATTAATTTATTAAAACATTTCTTTGATCCTGATTATTTTCCTTATTGCATACCATGTGTATTTACAGGTGCAAACCCATTTGGTGGAGGGTCCACTACAGTACCTACACAGCCTGCCATGGGAGCAACCAGTAATCCATTTGGAGGAGCAGGGGGCCAGTCATTATTTGGTAGCCAGCCTCAGCCTGCCCACGGAGGCTTTGGCCAACCAGCAGTGGCCCAAGGATTTGGTCAGCAACCTCCCACAAATTCCATGGGAGGATTTGGCCAGCCTCAGACAACAGCAGCAGGAGGCTTTGGTCAGTTTGGTACAGCACCATCTAGTGGGATAAGTGGTGTGCCTCAACAACAAGGTGGAGCTAATTTTGGACAATATGGAATGCAAAATGGTGGTGGATTCAGTTCTGCAGGCAATGTAGCCCCAGCAGCAGGGGGCTTTGGTGCGTTTTCTCAGCCTCAGTCAAACTTTGGTAATGCCATGGGCACACCAGGACAATTTGATAATAAAATGGCGGGTATGTCAATTCACCAACAGCAACAAGGCTTTGGACAGGCAGCGGGAGGTGCAGGATGGGGACAGCCAGCCCCTACAGCCAACCCCTTCATGGTGGGTGCATATACACTGACCCCCTAAATTTAACCCTTCAGAGTACTTACCCCAAGCCCTTAAAGCCAACCCACTATGATAGGTACCCAGCCCTTCATGATAGGTCCATGGTAGTTACAAAGCCTCTACAACCAGCCCCTAGATGTTAATTACACAGGCTCTATAGCCAGCCCCTTCATGGTAGTTACAAACCTCTACAGCCAGCCCCTTCATGTTAGTTACACAGCCTCTACAGCCAGCCCTTTCATGGTAGTTACACAGCCTCAACAGCTAGCCCCTTTGCCGTAGTTACAGTCTCTACAGCCAGCCCCTTCATGTTAGTTACACAGCCTCTACAGCCAGCCCTTTCATGGTAGGTACACAGCCTCTACAGCCAGCCCTTTCATGGTAGTTACACAGCCTCAACAGCTAGCCCCTTTGCCGTAGTTACAGTCTCTACAGCCAGCCCCTTCATGTTAGTTACACAGCCACTACAGCCAGGCCCTTCATGGTAGTTACACAGCCTCTACAGTCAGCCGGTTAACGGTAGTTACACAGCCTCTACAGCCAGCCCCTTTGCCATAGTTACAGTATCTACAGCCAGCCCCTTCATGTTAATTATACAGCCACTACAGCCAGCCCCTTTATGTTAGTTACACAGCCACTACAGCCAGCCCCTTCATGTTAGTTATACAGCCAGCTCCTTCATGTTAGTTACACAGCCTCTACAGCCAGCCCCTTCATGGTAGTTACACAGCCTCTACAGCCAGCCCCTTTATGTTAATTACGCAGCCTCTACAGCCAGCCCCTTTACAGTAGTTACACAACCTCTACAGCCAGCCCCTTTACGGTAGTTACACAACCTCTACAGCCAGCCCCTTCATGGTAGTTACACAGCCACTAAAACCAGCTCCTTCATGTTACTTCATTGGTTTTAATTCTTCCAGTCTTGAAAATTGTTAATTTGAAGAGTTACCCTTGCTCAGTCCTGAACCAGTTAGGTATGCTACCCATTAGGACATGTCTGATATGTTTTTTTGTGTTTTTCAGTCTGCAGCCTCCCAGCCTGTAGCACCTTCGAGCAGCTCGAACCCATTCTTGTGATTACCAAAGACAGTAGTAGTTTTAACTGGACAAACGTGACCAAATATGTGATGAGAATGTAAATAACGGCAGGTGATCAAGTCATGTGATCGACTTGTGATCAATACATTTTATGTCATGTGGTTTGCCATCGCTACTGGGATTTAGAAACGTGCAGTTCAAGTTAAATCGACTAAAGGTGAATTACCTGGCACATAGCCTCACCTGAAGCAAGTACACCATTCCTATTCCTGGCCCTCTAGGTTGTGAAGGGAATGAACTGATGTATAACATGATGAGATGTAACAGCAGTTATTATTGGTCAGTTTACTGACCTGATGATGCACGATTTGTACAGTCATCTCGTCACTCTATCATCAGACTGCATGTGCATGTGTTTAACTGCATCAGCAGACCACATCTAGACAGATAGCTAAATGCTGTCAAATATTAAGATTGTGAACATTCACTAGTGTGCTAGTATTAATAACCTGTTTTGTTTTGGTGAGAGCTAGGTTATGTTTTTTATAAGCCATGCTGCTAAAGCCCTTGAAGTTTGAATAACTCATTGGTACAGCGTTGTACTGGTAGGGGAAAGCAATGGTAGTTCATTGGTAGTGTGATTTAAGGTTAAGCAACTCATTGAGGAATAAGGTCAGATTGACTCATTTTAAAGTGGACAAATTCTAGTAATTACTATGGTTGTTGATATTAAATGTAACATGAAGTGATACTTGAGTGCAATGATTAGCATATATGTAGAATTATCTCCCTTCCAATCAGTTTGTGCATCTTTCATTATCATAAGTGGCATTATAAGGGATATGTTTGGAAAGCAAGTGTCAGCATGTGTAATGGTTCATCTGTATATAGATAGGGAATTTTATTATTTCTTGCTTTATTTGTTGGATATTTACACTGGAACTTTATCTGGACATGAAAGGTAAAGCTGGGAAGGGATTTCTGGGAAAACATAAAAAAAATATTGATGAATACTAAAACCAACTATTTACATGAGGATAATCAGTTTGAACCGATTCTTCCTGAAGGCAGGAACAAACTAGTGATATTCTAATGTAGGAGTTGGTATTTATCATAACAGTATTGTACATGTATCTTGTAATGACTAAAAAATGTATTGAGATATAGTATATTTACTTAAAATTGTGTTGCTTGTTTTAATGAATGTTGAAGTAAGTGAATGTGTGGATTATATTTTCAGTATTGAAGATGTGTTTAGAATTCATGTTGGTATCTGTATACATTAAATAAAGATACTTATTAAAATCCATATTTTGTCTGAAATGGAAATCACTACACACGAAGTTGCTTCTAACTCTACAGTGCAGACAGATATCGTACTTTATAAATATCTAGTGTCAGAATTTTATCTTAGAATATTTATTTTATAAGCTGATGATAAATACTGATGAAATAACGGCCCTGTTCTAAAATCCAGTGGTAGTTTTCATCTTAGCAATATATTTATCATTTTCCCATTGTGTAGGATATATACAGAATGTTTACATTAAGATATTTAGATTTAAAACAATCAAAATATTTGTTACGTTTCTGTCCTTTTGATTGGATGCATTTGAAATACATCACCTTATATTATCCAATCAGGATGAAGTCTTATTGGTTAAAAGCTTATGTTCAAGTTTAAACAGTTTCCTTAAAACCTTGAAAAAAGGACATATTTTCCCCAGATATCAGGTGAATGAATTATTACCATTAATCTAACTTTCAAGCTATTTGTTTATTACAATGTTTTGCTGCCTGAAAGAAATAATGAATTTTTTTACATTAAAATCTAAAAATAACTGTTTAACTAACACAATGGAAAAGGAAAAACAATATGAAAAAAATTGACCTGGCTTAACTACAAATACTAAAAATATTTCTTTTAAACCAATTGAAAATATATTAAATTCTAAATATATTAGTCCAATAGCGTTACTCTTGTTTCTTATAGAAGAAAATCAAAATTTTATTTTAAAACTTTTGATATATTAGTTTTGACTACATCAAAGAGGGGTTGTCTGCTCATCACAGTTTTACAGTTTTAATATTTGCTATTGGTAAATGAAAGTGAAAGGGAGAAGAAACACATCGGGCTGCCTACACAGTAAGACACTGGGTGTAGGTTTAATCAATAAATTTTCAGGTACAAATGTTATGTATTAGTGTACTTGAATTCAGCTAATAGGTATAGAAGTATCAAATTAATGTTTACATGTTACAGGACAAAGGGTTACCTCTCTGGTTTCTAAGAAATTAGAAAAGGGAGATAACTATAAGAAGGGAGTAATTCAAAGGGTGAATAAGATTTTTAAAAGGAGAAAATTCCTCAGTGGACGGGTGATAAATGTTATTGTTGGTGTTGTGTGCTGGCTACTTGTGTTTACTTGTTAAGTATCATCATTCCTGTGATTCATTAACTTCAACATTTTTATTCTGAAGTAAGTGTTAATGCATTATATTGAAAATTGTATATGATAGTACACTTACTTATCTTAAGCAAAAGAAAAACTTCTAAACTATTGCGAACATTAACGTTTGATAAGAATTCTGTCAATCCACCAAAAATGTTTATTTCTCAATACATTTTACTGTCGGATATATTGATGCTCTAGTTAAAACTATTGTAAAAATTTCAAAGCTTCTTCACAAAGTTACTTCAATAGTACATACATAATATATGATAGTCAATTCCATGTAGAGAACTCCACACAAGCTTCCAGCTTTTTAGTTCAGAATTTGCCAAAGCTTAGGTAAATTAAGTTAGATCTGTCATCATTTCAAGAATTGTTTTACATTCAGCTGTATCGTTCAAAGTGGTTCATTTCCTCAGTGAAAAGAATGGTACTCCAGGATATTTTATTTTTCAAGCATGAAACATGTGATCTATGTTACAAATAAATCATTGTGTTACTTTAAACATACTTTCAGTTAAGGTTATATGTCACTTTAAATATTAAACCGGAAAAAATTCTGACCTTGTTATCTCCCTTGAAGTGTCAAGGATATTTAGTTTCGCTTCCTCATATACCTTGTTCTTATTAGTAAAAGAAGGTATTTGGAATATTTCTTAATGGGTAGCCCCTACCAAATGGATGTGTATTTTATGGTAAGATAGCATACACCCTTAACAATAATGTAACAAGTATTCCTGTATTGATCCTATGTGTATCTTTTATAGGATCAAAATAATATCTGTATCAGCAAAGGACTTGAACCTTGTTAAAAAGTTAAGCTAAAGAGTATCACTGCTAAATCTTATAATTGTGTCAGTTACAAAATTTTATTAACCAAGGAAAAAAATTAAGGAACAAAAATGTTATTCTGGCTCAGAGCAACTTTCCTTATTATATATTTACCTGTCATTTTAAAGTCATGAAATTGTCATTGGAATTCCAGGTTATACCAACTAAACATGATGTGTGGTAGCGATGTTTGTATATTTGTTTCTGTTGTTTAATGTGTTGATATTAGTACCTATTTTTTAACATTGAAATTCAGATGCCAAGGCATTTGATTTTGCAAGAAATTCACAAACAAAAAATTTCATGCTGGTGATATTAATATATTGTATGTCAATGATACTCTTTATCTTGATTGAATAAAGAAAGTAAAATTTAGATTTCAATCTGAGGATTGATACTAAGTCTGCTTGATAGATTTCTATGTGGGTTTGAAGTCCTGATGCATATGGTTTGTACTTATCTATATATAGATATAAGTATTATCAGTTGTAGCTGTATAAAGCAATAATTTTAAAACCTTTGTAGTTAATAACTGTTTCCTTAACTGTCTATGTACCATTGACTGAGACGATTTGTTGTGTAAAAGTTTGTGAAATGTACAGAATTTTCTCAATCTTCCACTTGAAATAAAATGTTATAACTGATCAAATCTCTTAAAAACTCTTAGAAACTGGAGGGTGTTATAACTGTGCTGTATTTATATTGATCTACTAAGTGTTTCCACAGAAGATGGCGGGCGTATCTCACATTATGATAATATGGTGAAATATTGTCACTAATTTACTCAGATTAATGTTTTAGAGACAAATATTTTTCAGACGTTGGATAATATTTTGCCTGTCAAAATTCATCTCTCTTTTGCTCTGATAATTAGAGAACTGTCAAAAGTATGGGAAGGAGATTTTTTTCTTCAGCAAGAAAGCTGACTTACATATAAATGCATCACGCTGTATTGTTATATTTTATTTGCGAGGCTGTGATTGTGTTGGATTGTGTCGAGCCTCTATGTTGTTTGATGTTTGTCTGTTGTGTTGGTTTCTTCACTTTTTATGTAATTACTCATTCCAAAGACATTATTTTAATTGTATTTAATTACTATGTACATACCTGTATGTAAAATACTGTATCACAAGCACGGTTACCATGGATACTCATGTATCAAATAAATCTATCATGTCAATTATACATCTGTGTTATGGCTGTTTTGTAACATAAAGATGCTGTTCATATAAAATTTGTTTCACAACAATCTCTTAGTTTTAAGGAGAAATGTACTAAGACATATTCTAATACAGTTAATCAAACTAGGATAACTGATGTTAAATCATCTGTCAGGTTCAAGTTCAATCACTAATTATGGAAGAGAAAATTAAGTGACTTGCACTGAAGACAGAAGAAAAGGAATGGCTGTTGGTTTGGGGTTTTTTATCTTGCTCAGCAGACTTTTAATTTAGATTGAACCATAATCACCTGTCAAAAACTAATGCCTGCTGTGGAAGGCTAACACATAATTCTATATTTCCCTACTGGAGCTCCATCCCTAGACTTGAAGGTTGTTTTGGCATCTTGCCATACCTGGACTTATTGTCCTGTAACAAGCCAACTCCTCGACATTGAATCAGATGTTATATATTGGCATCCATGGGCTTATTGCCCTGAAATAGGCTCACTACCTGACATTGAGTCAGAGGGCATATATATCTTGGCATCCCTGGGCTTATTATCCTTTAATAAGCTCTAACAATTTATGAGTTTGACTTTGTGTTGGTCCACTAGGCGTATTTATCTGTGATAAGCCCATACCCTGACGTTGTCGGAGGTTATGTATAGGCAACTCTGGGCTTGTTTTCCTGTAATTATCCTCCCCTCATTAGTCGAGTCAGAGGTTATGTATAGGCAACTCTGGGCTTGTTTTCCTATAATTATCCTCCCCTCATTAGTCGAGTCAGAGGTTATGTGTAGGCAACTCCGGGCTTGTTTTCCTGTAATTATCCTCCCCTCATTAGTCGAGTCAGAGGTTATGTGTAGGCAACCCTGGGCTTGTTTTCCTGTAATAAGCTTTCCCTCTTTAGTTGAGTCAGAGGTTATGTATGGGCAACCCTGGGCTTGTTTTCCTGCAATTAGCCTTCCCTCTTTAGTTAAGTCAGAGGTTATGTATACGCAACCCTGGGCTTGTTTTCCTGTAATTAGCCTTCCCTCTTTAGTTAAGTCAGAGGTTATGTATGGGCAACCCTGGGCTTGTTTTCCTGCAATTAGCCTTCCCTCTTTAGTTAAGTCAGAGGTTATGTATACGCAACCCTGGGCTTGTTTTCCTGTAATTAGCCTTCCCTCTTTAGTTAAGTCAGAGGTTATGTATGGGCAACCCTGGGCTTGTTTTCCTGTAATGAGCTTTCCCTCTTTAGTTAAGTCAGAGGTTATGTATGGGCAACCCTGGGCTTGTTTTCCTGTAATGAGCTTTCCCTCTTTAGTTAAGTCAGAGGTTATGTATGGGCAACCCTGGGCTTGTTTTCCTGTAATGAGCTTTCCCTCTTTAGTTAAGTCAGAGGTTATGTATGGGCAACCCTGGGCTTGTTTTCCTGTAATAACCCCCCCCCCCCTGACGTGGAGTCAGAGGGTTATGTATGGGCAACTGTGGGCCTATTTTCCTGTAATAAGCCCACCCCCTTTAGCTGAGTTAGAGGGTACAAATGGGCAACCCTGGGCTTACTTTCCTGTAATAAGCCCACCCCATTTAGATGAGTCAGATGTATAATGGAGCCCTGAGCATATTACAAGATAAGGACATAAATCAAAACAAAAATGCAGTAAAATTTCAGGATACACTTTATATATTACATGCATAGTAGGAAATACCTAAAGTTTGGTACAACATGTGCTTGGTAATCCATATCAGCTAATAACAACATGTGATTTAACAAAAGCATGAAGTACTAGACCATTTGTAGGCATTTCACAGGTAACAACCAAACCTTTAGAAGTCAAAGTGTCACCAAAATTTCAAAGCTTATAAGTTGTAAAGAAATATAATGAAAATTATTTCAAATTCTCTTTTTTTTAGAGTTTCTGCTTGATCCTGGTAAATCATATACAAACAAGACAGAAGTATTTATATACATGTATGTATGGATACATTTAAACTAAAAACTTCCATTAAAGTCATAAATATTCTGTGGAAGATGATCCACACATCACTAATGGTATTCTATACACTTCAACTTGTGTCTTTTCTTTTCATGTCAAACATTCCTATGATCAAACAGTTTAAACCACAAAGTAACATCTGCTGTTTATGTACGAGACCTGACAAAACGTTTTGATGTATGAGACCAGACAAAACATTTTCTGAGACATACAAATGTTGGTTACTTTGAACAAGTCATCATATACCTGTTTCTAATACAGTATAATTTATACACTTGTATCTAATACAGATATAATTATGGAATCCTGTTTAATAAGGACTTTTTTTTACAAAGCTATATACATATGTTCTTCACCTACTCTGCTCATCAAATATTCACAATTTATATTTAATTATTCATAAAATTTAATTTCACATAATACCCAACTTCACAAACACATACATGTATTTATATTCCTTATTATATTAAAACCTTCCTAAATCATCCCTTCCTCTCCATACAAGAAACAATGATTTTATATCCCTTATTTTAAAAGACTCGTTAAGTAAATTGTCATGAGTAGAGAATATATTCAACCTTTGAAGACCACTCATATTTTTGGCAGAGTGTAATTCAAACAAAATCTCTCAACTTTGAAAATAATCTGTGATGTTGAAGTGTTCCAGTCCAGTCAAGTGATAGAAAAAGGGTACATCAAAAATGGCAGGATCTACTGCAGATAGAGAGATCGTCTCTAAAAATAGGTTCTACTGCACTGACAGAAGAGTGGTCTATCAAAACAGGTTCTACTGTATTGGTATAAAAGTGGTCTCATAAGACAGATTCTACTTGACAGGAGGGGTGGTCTCTCAAGACAGGTTCTACTCTGTTGGAATAGAAGTGGTCTCTCAAGACAGGTTCTACTCTGTTGGCATAGAAGTGGTCTCATAAGACAGATTCTACTTAAATGACAGGAGGGTTGGTCTCTCAAGACAGGTTCTACTGTAGTAACTGAAGGGTGGTCTCTCAAGACAGGTTCTACTGTAGTGACACAAGACTAATTTCTCTAAAAGGTTCTAATGCAGTAACAAAGGAGTGGTTTCTCAACATGTTTAACTGTATTGGCTTGTGCACCATCACCAACATGAAACAAAAGGTTGCACATGTGCAAGTTTGGACAAATACTTAAGTACATGGAATGATTTTGTAACAAATTGCTATAAACATCTGAACCCATGGCAATCCTGTTTAATTCACAAAATGTTTTCATTCCCTGTTAATTTAACCAGTCTCCTCTACAAGCGTTCAGGGATTTATGTGAAAACAAAATATACATAAGGCTGTAAGACTCTCCAATGTCTACTTTTTGTAAAGTGTGAACGAAGAAGCACGAGCACATTGTAAATGAAATTCCATGGAGACCTAAAAAAATTTAATGAAACTCTCAACTTCATTCGGACACTTTTGTTCCAATTCCATGTGCAATAAGAACATTAGTTTACTGATGTCAGTTGAGAATGATATGACACAATATAAAAAAGCTCCATCTACAAATGAAATTAGTCTGTTGATCAGTGGTTGTCAGAAGACTTTCATTTTCCATACATTTAACACAGTCATCTCTACAAATTCCATTTCTATACATTTGTCAGTGATTTCCGTAAGTTTCATTTTCTATTTATTCAACACAATGATTTCTGTAAGTTTCATTTTCCACAGGAAAAACATGGTTGTCAACAGCATTCATTCTTGACACATCGAAGGATGACATTGGTCTGATATATCAGGTAGTTGGCACTGATGAAGACACTTTGATTTCTGTAAAAAGAAAAAATAATCACAAGAATTACAATTTGACACTACATTCTATTTGAAACTTTGTCACAAGTCAACAGATGACCTGTGCCTGTCAACCTGAAATCATTCCATTTGCTTTAATAACTTTACATTATATTATAACTCAGAACTATTCTACAAACATCCTTGCAGAACAATATACAACAATCCCATGCTAAAGAGAAACACGTTGTTGTATCAAAATAAATATGAAACATCTACATCAAAACGCTATGAGAAAAAATGGTTGCTATATGTTTTAATGATAAAGCATTTCAATCTTTAAAGAAATTTGTAAAAACTGAAAGTAGAAATCTGTGCACAAGGAAAATGCTGAAACCAAAACAAAGTGCAATAACTCTTCCAAAATTGAAAAATCCAATGCTGTAACATGATATCTTGTCATGGTGAGACTGCAGATCCCTTGGCAAGATTATGGTTAAAGAAAACAAAAATGGGACAGGAACTCTTTCAATTATACTTTCAAATCAAATTCTTACTTCAAAGAATCTGATTGAAAACTGTGGGAGATCTCCAGAAAAGGTTATGAAAAATTGGTAATGGACAAAATACCTCCTCTTAACATAGTTTAATCAAACTGCCATGTATAAAAACAAAAACATATATCATGTGATCAAGCCTACCAATTTGAGGAAAATTAGTTACAAACTGAGACAAGAGATCTCCAGACAATAGTAGGGTTATGAAAGCAACAAGAGGCAGGAACTTTTCAAAAATACAGTCGAATCAAACTGCTGTTTAGGAAAACACAACTTCATGGTGATTAAATCTACCAAGTTTGAAAACTGTTGAAAGTGATCTGAGAGGAAATAAACTTTTGCAATAGATAGATGGACAATGTTATAGCATAATAATCAATGAAAATGTTGGCAAGTAAATAAAAGTCACAAGGAAAGACTTGGTTTTCTGTTGTTAAACGCCCTAACCTGGATCATTTAAGGATGTGCCAGGAAAGCCAGCATTCCTGGAGAAAAAACAACGACTTGTGCCCAGGTCATTTTTTGCACCTTGCTATTGCCTCAGTGAGATGCCTTAATCACTCGGACACTGCAAAAAGGCAAGGACATCTGATTTCTAATGTACAACCCCCCTCTCAGGTTATAGCATAACTTGTTAACTACAACCTCTCTCTCAGGTTATAGCATATCCTGTTAACTACAAACCCCCTTCTCAGGTTATAGCATATCCTGTTAACTACAACTTCTCTCTCAGGTTATAGTATACCCTGTTAACTATAACCCAACCCCCCCTCAACCCCTCTCAGGTTAGAGCATATCCTGTTAAATACAACCCCCTCCTCCTCTCAGGTTATAGTATATCCTGTTAACTACAACCCCCCCCCTCTCAGGTTATAGCATATCCTGTTAACTACAACCCCCCTCTCAGGTTTTAGCATATCCTGTTAACTACAACCCCCCCCCCCCCTCCCCCTCTCAGGTTATAGCATATCCTGTTAACGGTCTGTAATATCTTAAACTTCAAATCTTAGAAATAATTGATTCAAACTAAGCTAATAGAAGAATTCTGACTGAAGCAACTGACTCTGATACAATTAGTATAATGTGATAGCATTCCTTATTGTCCTATTCAACATAAAATTACTTTTCATTAATGTAACTCATAGGAGGATTCTTTAATTACGTAAATGATTTACATAACACTTTAATTCATGCATAATATTTTTCTGTAATAATATTGATTGTATAGTATAATAAGCTAACTACATTGATATATCAAATACTGCATGCTAGGTTTTTAAACAGAGTTGTGATATGTTTAATTCAAAGCTTTCCACAGTTCAGTAGTCCTGAACCCAGGCGCATAAATCTATAACTTAACATCTTTCCAAATCCTACATACAGTAAAAAATACTTCATTCAAATTCAATAAACCATGTGTATTCATTTTAACCAAATTCATATATCATGATATTCAAACTAACCAGCTTTGAATTCCTGGTATTCCAGCTAACATGGTTTGATATCCTGGTATTCTAGCTAACATGGTTTGATATCCTGGTATTCTAGCTAACATGGTTTGATATCCTGGTATTCTAGCTATTCCGTCTGGCCATTGGTAATATTTTTGTTCATTAGATTACCCAATTATAAAGATTTTAATTTCCTTTTGAGCACGAGGAGGAATATTTCTGATCAGTCAAAGGGGGAATACTCTTGTAGGGAGTAAGGTTGAGTACTCTCTGTTGGGAGAAAGGAGGGTTATTTCTTGTACAGGGAAAGGAGAGGTATTTCTTGTTGAGAGAAAGGAGGGGTATTTCTTGTGCAGGGAAAGGTTGGGTATTTCCTGTACAGGGAAAGGTGGGGTATTTCTTGTACAGGGAAAGGTTGGGTATTTCCTGTACAAAGAAAGGTGGGGTATTTCTTGTACAGGGAAAGGTGGGGTATTTCTTGTACAGGGAAAGGAGGAGTATTTCATGTACAGGGAAAAGTGGGGTATTTCTTGTTGGGAGAAGAAGGGGTATTTCATGTACAGAGAAAGGAGGGGTATTTCTTGTACAGGGAAAGGAGGGTTATTTCTTGTACAGGGAAAGGAGGGGTATTTCTTGTACAGGGAAAAGAGGGGTATTTCTTGTTGGGAGAAAGGAGGGTTATTTCTTGTACAGGGAAAAGTGGGGTATCTCCTGTATAGAGAAAGGAGAGGTATTTCTTGTTGGGAGAAAGGAGGGTTATTTCTTGTACAGGGAAAGGTGGGGTATTTCCTGTATAGAGAAAGGAGAGGTATTTCTTGTACAGGGAAAGGTGGGGTATTTCATGTACAGAGAAAGGACAGGTATTTCTTGTACAGGGAAAGGAGAGGTATTTCCTGTACAGTGAAAGGTGGGGTATTCCTTGTTCAGAGAAAGGAGGAATATTTCCTGTAGTAAGTAATGAAGGAGGGGTATTCCCTAATGGGAGAAAAGAGGAGTGTTTCCTGGTAGAAGAAGAGAAATTATTCCTGTTGGGACACATGTAGAAGGGTTATTACCAATCAGGAGGGTTGTAACATAGAAGGGCCATTACCAATCAGGATGGTTGTGACATAGAAGGGTCATTACCAATCAGGAGGGTTGTGACATAGAAGGGCCATTACCAATCAGGAGGGTTGTGACATAGAAGGGTCATTACCAATCAGGAGGGTTGTGACATAGAAGGGTCATTACCAATCAGGAGGGTTGTGACATAGAAGGGTCGTTACCAATCAGGAGGGTTGTGACATAGAAGGGCCATTACCAATCAGGATAGTTGTGACATAGAAGGGCCATTACCAATCTGGAGGGTTGTGACATAGAAGGGCCATTACCAATCTGGAGGGTTGTGACATAGAAGGGCCATTACCAATCAGGAAGGTTGTGACATAGAACGGTTATTATTTACTGGAAAGGAAGAGACTCAATCAGTTGTAAGGGTTATAATCTGGGATGGGTGGAATCCAGTTAGAAGGGTTATAACTTTTCTGCAAGGTTGGGATGCAGAAGGATTGCTACCTAACGGGAAGGTTGGGACTCTGTTGGAAGGGTTATTAACTTTTCTGCAAGGTTGGGACACAGAAGGATTGTTACCTAACGGGAAGGTTGGGACTCTGTTGGAAGGGTTATAACTTTTCTGCAAGGTTGGGACGCAGAAGGATTGTTACCTAACGGGAAGGTTGGGACTCTGTTGGAAGGGTTATTAACTTTTCTGCAAGGTTGGGATGCAGAAGGATTGTTACCTAACGGGAAGGTTGGGACTCTGTTGGAAGGGTTATTAACTTTTCTGCAAGGTTGGGACGCAGAAGGATTGCTACCTAACGGGAAGGTTGGGACTCTGTTGGAAGGGTTATTAACTTTTCTGCAAGGTTGGGATGCAGGTTGGGATGCAGAAGGATTGTTACCTAACGGGAAGGTTGGGACTCTGTTGGAAGGGTTATTAACTTTTCTGCAAGGTTGGGATGCAGAAGGATTGTTACCTAACGGGAAGGTTGGGACTCTGTTGGAAGGGTTATAACTTTTCTGCAAGGTTGGGACGCAGAAGGATTGTTACCTAACGGGAAGGTTGGGACTCTGTTGGAAGGGTTATAACTTTTCTGCAAGGTTGGGATGCAGAAGGATTGTTACCTAACGGGAAGGTTGGGACTCTGTTGGAAGGGTTATAACTTTTCTGCAAGGTTGGGACGCAGAAGGATTGTTACCTAACGGGAAGGTTGGGACTCTGTTGGAAGGGTTATAACTTTTCTGCAAGGTTGGGACACAGAAGGATTGTTACCTAACGGGAAGGTTGGGACTCTGTTGGAAGGGTTATAACTTTTCTGCAAGGTTGGGACGCAGAAGGATTGTTACCTAACGGGAAGGTTGGGACTCTGTTGGAAGGGTTATAACTTTTCTGCAAGGTTGGGACGCAGAAGGATTGTTACCTAACGGGAAGGTTGGGACTCTGTTGGAAGGGTTATAACTTTTCTGCAAGGTTGGGACGCAGAAGGATTGTTACCTAACGGGAAGGTTGGGACTCTGTTGGAAGGGTTATTGACTTTTCTGCAAGGTTGGGACACAGAAGGACTGCTACCTAACGGGAAGGTTGGGACTCTGTTGGAAGGGTTATAACTTTTCTGCAAGGTTGGGACGCAGAAGGATTGTTACCTAACGGGAAGGTTGGGACTCTGTTGGAAGGGTTATAACTTTTCTGCAAGGTTGGGACGCAGAAGGATTGTTACCTAACGGGAAGGTTGGGACTCTGTTGGAAGGGTTATAACTTTTCTGCAAGGTTGGGACGCAGAAGGATTGTTACCTAACGGGAAGGTTGGGACTCTGTTGGAAGGGTTATAACTTTTCTGCAAGGTTGGGACGCAGAAGGATTGTTACCTAACGGGAAGGTTGGGACTCTGTTGGAAGGGTTATTGACTTTTCTGCAAGGTTGGGACACAGAAGGATTGTTACCTAACGGGAAGGTTGGGACTCTGTTGGAAGGGTTATTAACTTTTCTGCAAGGTTGGGACGCAGAAGGATTGCTACCTAACGGGAAGGTTGGGACTCTGTTGGAAGGGTTATTGACTTTTCTGCAAGGTTGGGACACAGAAGGATTGTTACCTAACGGGAAGGTTGGGACTCTGTTGGAAGGGTTATTAACTTTTCTGCAAGGTTGGGACACAGAAGGATTGTTACCTAACGGGAAGGTTGGGACTCTGTTGGAAGGGTTATAACTTTTCTGCAAGGTTGGGACGCAGAAGGATTGTTACCTAACGGGAAGGTTGGGACTCTGTTGGAAGGGTTATTAACTTTTCTGCAAGGTTGGGACGCAGAAGGATTGTTACCTAACGGGAAGGTTGGGACTCTGTTGGAAGGGTTATTAACTTTTCTGCAAGGTTGGGACGCAGAAGGATTGTTACCTAACGGGAAGGTTGGGACTCTGTTGGAAGGGTTATTAACTTTTGGGAAGAAAGGGTTTTATTCCACTTGAAACTTTGTATGCAAATATACAAATAAACAGGATTTGAATAAAGTAATTTTTCTGTATATTTGAAGTTCAGATTAAAAAATTAGTAACTTAGACTTTTTTTATCTTACTGATCTGAGCATGTCAGTCTCATTAGCCAATCAGAACTGTTACAGCAGTCAAGCTACAGGTGTATCAGATTCTCTGTAGCTAGCTTTGCATGCAAATACTGGACATTTTTAGAGTAAATACACAGGCATATATAGACAAGATCAAAATCTGATCAGAATCTGGCATGCAAGAAAAAAAAATCACAAAATGTGAAAAAAAAAGTTTGTGTTTTTCCCCTAAAGATTATATGTATATTAAAAATGCAATCTCCCTTCCCTCGAAGAACAAAACTTCTTTTTTCAATACACTATGAACATTTAAGGGAGAGAAAAAGAAATGTTTTAGAATGTTGAAAAGAGTAAAACATATATTTTTAACAGGCATGCTTTATATATTGATATATATATATCATTACTAATCCCAACTTGTAAAAACAAAAAAATGAAACCTGGTTCACAATTAAATAATACACCTTGAGTAGAAATAAAGATATCGTATGTATTATACAAGCAAGGAGGAATCCTTCCACGAGAGCCTTTCCACCAGCAATCTGTTAATGCCCAGTAAATATTCACTTACATCACGAAGCTTCTCTCCGATACATACATTGTAAAACCCGTATACGACACCTTGACTAATTGGTCGTCGGGATAATAGGACCTGGAATCAGTTCACTCATACAATCAGAATTTAATTATTTCACATTTTTTTAAATGTCGCAATATCTGACCTACATATACATATATATATATATATATTTGAGAGTGTAAGGATTGAATGATAACCATTTGTAAGTACACAAGTTCAAGTGACAATATTACACAAGGGAAATAGACGCTGGTTCTGAAAACAGATAAGACAATCAACTCTTCACATATTTTGGTAATAGATAATATCAGCCATACAAACACCATGATTGGTTCATTTAAGTTTCCACATGAAATATACAAATTAGATTGACACATCCAAACAGTAATTGAATTAATGATAAGGTAGCAATTACCAGTCTTCATGGAAAAGCTGCACATAATGTTTTATGTACACAAATAATCACCGCAATCAAACAATAATGATGCATGACTTTGTTCGGTTTATTGCCCTGTAACAGTTACAGTAATTATACATTCAGGGTAAAGTGTGTTGCCCAAAAGTACACCCACATCAGTACAGACAGATCATTTCTCAATTTCTTGACAAACTGCCACGGGTACAGAGCATTCACTGTCCTTGTTCCCTTGCATGTAAGTATCAATGTTTGATAAAACTACAGAAGCTGTCCGTTGTTTATTGTAGCTTTACACCCGATTAACAGCCAGGGTCATTAAAGGAAGTGCCAGGTTTGGGTGGTAGAGTTCTGGTGTTCTTGGAGAAAAGCCACTGAACCATAACAAGTACCTTGCCACTGCCCTCCCCCTCCTCCTCCCCCTGCCCTCCCCCTCTCTAGTCATAAAGACAGTGACACCTTAACCACTCTGCCTCTGTGGTCCCTAGAAGATGTCAATATATAAGATTATTTTGTTGATACATAGGTGTAGAATATCACTGATGAAAACCAAACACTTTAGTCAAGTTAATGTGTCTACAATATTTAGTACTGTTATCATGAGTATGCCAGCAGAAAGGGAGATAAATGAGCTATTTTCAACCTGTTTTTCACTTAGTCATAAATTAAGTTATTTTCAGTTAATTTTTTTTATTTATCAGTCATGTGTTCATCTCTTCATTATAAAAAATATTCTGTGAATATTAAGTAGACTGTACTTGTCTCCTCATTACAAAGATATTCTGTGAACATTTAGCAATCATTTGAATATTCAATTACTAAAATCATTGAGTTATCTCCCTTCCTTCACTGCATACCACAACAAACGTTATACTATATCGCTGTTTGGAACCAACGAAATAATGAAATGAAATATTTAGTAGATGGTTGGTAAACACATCAACCATTCCCTCTATTTGTTTCTGTTATATAGATATATATCATATCAGATCTATCATCATCAAACAGTTACTTGTGGTATTGTACCAGTGATTCTACATAACGTAAACAGCTGTACATTTCAATAAGTGTCAAGACAGAGAAAACCCCAGATATCATTTACTTTAAACTACGATAATCTAAGAACAATAAAAATGCTTTACTAATGACAAAAAAAATATTTAGTTTTTTGTTTTTCAGATTAGTTGAAACTAAAATGAATTTAAAAAATAAACCATCATGCATGACAGTAAAGTATTTTAGACAGTAAGAATGATTACACACAACTTCATGTAAAACCTCAATACACTGACATGAAATGATTATATATGAAGTGATTCTCTGATTATTTTTGATGGTAGATTAACAAGTATTACTACTTACTGGTTATTGTCCCTGAAGAAATCTTTTAAAGTGTTGCTGAACCTCTTGGAATATCTTACAAATTCTTTTTTTCTTTCTTCCAGAATCTGTAAATGATGTATGTGAAATGTGAAAGAAATGATTCAATGAATGTCTATTAATTAACGATTAGAAAGTGAAAACACAAAATCTATAGTGCTCAAATATTTAATACTTGCTTTCAAAAGTAAATATATAATGAATCTGCCCAGTATTAACAATTTTTTTTTAACATGTAAACCTCAATTGATAAAGAACAACACATCATTTACCATAAGAATTCAGGAAAACATTCTCTTTTGACAATAAACACCATATAAGCAGAAAGTTTTTTTAGTCAAATAAAGTTTTCGTTCAATATTACAAAGTGTTTACAGGGTACTGATATTTTTTATGATTGTGAATCACCTTTAACATGAAGATCAAAAAAGGTTAAAAAATTAGACTGTAGTGTCCAAATGTCACTTCTACAACACCTTTAATATCAGTTCTGGTCCATTAAAATCAAGTTCAATTAATCTTACAGATATTAACATATTGAAATCAAAATCTGACAAGAAACTACAGTAGGAGAATTTCCACATAACAAACATCCTGTTAATTAAGATCACATGTGTGTTGAGGTTTATGTACTAGATTTCAGGCCCGTGTGCTTAAAGCTTGGTTACAATTAATCAATGGTTAGTGAAAACTTTTAAATACTAATTGAACAAAAATGGGAACATCCTTTTTCATTTCACAGCTGTAATTTTGTAGATACAGGTCAGATTAATGTTTTTACTTCCAATTTTGCTTTAAAATTCCACCCTCCTTTTTTTTTTTAAATGACAACACTTAATTTTTTCACAAACCAATGGTTAACTCAAAACAAGCTTTGAGCAACCTGGGACAGGAGGATAACTATTGGTTAAAAAGGCTGTCTTAAAACTAGTAAACCAATGAAAAATGAGGGATAACTTCTAAAGTTGCTCTGAAGTTCTGAAGTATGTAAAAGATGGATAGAAACAAAGCTGTTTGTCCCATTATCTGTGGAGGCATGAAAAGATGGATAGAAACAAACCTGTTTACTCCCAATATCTGTGGAGGCATGAAAAGATGGATAGAAACAAAGCTGTTTGCTCCCAATATCTGTGGAGGCATGAAAAGATGGATAGAAACAAACCTGTTTACTCCCAATATCTGTGGAGGCATGAAAAGATGGATAGAAACAAAGCTGTTTGCTCCCAATATCTGTGGAGGCATGAAAAGATGGATAGAAACAAACCTGTTTACTCCCAATATCTGTGGAGGCATGAAAAGATGGATAGAAACAAACCTGTTTACTCCCAATATCTGTGGAGGCATGAAAAGATGGATAGAAACAAACCTGTTTACTCCCATTATCTGTGGAGGGCACTTCTGCTATCACACGGTTCACAGCGTCCAGTAAACGCTTTATAGCACTTGCTATTTCTCTGTAAGTAAGTATTTAAGTGTTAGAAACAAAAGAATCTCTCCCAGGTGTATCTCCCTGCTTTATTACTTGTACTGTTTAAAGGTTTTTTATATTTTCTTCTTCATTATATCCAACATCAATTATTTCACATATTATACATCTGTGTTCTCATTACATGTTGCTAGGCAACATTTAAACACATATCAGATTTGAATACAAAGAAATAAAGAGAAAAAGGAAAAGCCCTAACACATTTAAGTGGTGACATAGAATCATTTATCTTTCATTATGGATGTAACACAGGTTTTAGGCATAAAAATGAAGATAAAATTGTAAAACTATCAAACAAGGGTGCAGAGGTCATACACTAACATGTACAGGTCTTCAACTTAAAATCATGGAAAACAATTGAAGTAATTGTAACAACAAGCATTGTAACTTTAACTATTCAAATGATTCTCAGAAAGAAAAATACCAGCACAAATTTCAACCATGACCATGACTTTTTATCATGTGAGAGTCTTTTGGTCAAGGGCATAGTTCCAGAATATCATAACAAACTATGCTTTGTTTTTCAGTTTCAGATCTTGTGTTATAAACAAACCTTGACCTTTATGACCAGGAATATAGCACTGGACAATCACAAATAGTAAACATGTCTACAATAATATCTAGCGAAAAAAGGGATACTGGTAATATGATAAATGTTGGTGTACTTTAAGACAGGCATAATTCCTGAAATGACTTCACATCAGACATACTTTATGGTCTCCAGGAACTGTTTCCTGTTATAGATTTGCTCTGGAATGCGACTGAGGATTTTCTTCAAGGCTGTGGCACATTTACTAAGCTCCTGGAATGTTTGCTCCGGGCGGTTAATCTTCAGTTCTGGAATTACAAAACTACAATTGCATGACTAAGGTTAATAAATAAAGGAACGTCCCTCCTCTACCCATTTCTAGGACATGCTTCTGCTCTCTCTCTCCATCCTCCCCTACCCCTGCCTTTCTGAAGACTATATTTTTTTAAGGTTTCACATACAATACCAATTATTTCATTTATACCAATGATATGGTTGATAAATGGTTGTAAAAATGTCACACTTAAGCACTGTATTATTATTATTACTGTACCATCCAGAATGAGTTTAGACCAAGACTGTTTCTGTGTTCATTGGCTGATGTTAACAGTACATAAATATTTACACATCAACCATTCAGAAAAAGGAAATTGTTTTTATGCTAAAAACTACATATTCCCTACATTACCTGTGTGCCCTGTATTCAGGATATAAAATCATTCCCATCACATTTACATGAAAGAGACCAAGACAAAAAGTTGTACTAGATATGTTCCGGCGGTAAAGCTATACTTTCTATGTTGTGGTGACGCTCTAGATATAGAAATGTTGGTTTGTAATGACTTACCCATGGAATCCTTTAAACATGATACAGGGTATGTACAGGACCATGGGTTTGTGGTGACACAGTGTGGCGACTTACCCTACGAATCCTGAGTACCTCCTAAGTACAGGAGTGTGGGTTTGTGGTGACACAGTGTGGCGACTTACCCTACGAATCCTGAGTACCTCCTAAGTACAGGAGTGTGGGTTTGTGGTGACACAGTGTGGCGACTTACCCTACGAATCCTGAGTACCTCATAAGTACAGGAGTGTGGGTTTGTGGTGACACAGTGTGGCGACTTACCCTACGAATCCTGAGTACCTCCTAAGTACAGGAGTGTGGGTTTGTGGTGACACAGTGTGGCGACTTACCCTACGAATCCTGAGTACCTCCTAAGTACAGGAGTGTGGGTTTGTGGTGACACAGTGTGGCGACTTACCCTACGAATCCTGAGTACCTCCTAAGTACAGGAGTGTGGGTTTGTGGTGACACAGTGTGGCGACTTACCCTACGAATCCTGAGTACCTCCTAAGTACAGGAGTGTGGGTTTGTGGTGACACAGTGTGGCGACTTACCCTACGAATCCTGAGTACCTCCGTACAGGAGTGTGGGTTTGTGGTGACACAGTGTGGCGACTTACCCTACGAATCCTGAGTACCTCCTAAGTACAGGAGTGTGGGTTTGTGGTGACACAGTGTGGCGACTTACCCTACGAATCCTGAGTACCTCCTAAGTACAGGAGTGTGGGTTTGTGGTGACACAGTGTGGCGACACTACGAATCCTGACAGGAGTGTGGGTTTGTGGTGACACAGTGTGGCGACTTACCCTACGAATCCTGAGTACCTCATAAGTACAGGAGTGTGGGTTTGTGGTGACACAGTGTGGCGACTCCCTACGAATCCTGAGTACCTTTGTGGCGACTTACCCTACGAATCCTGAGTACCTCCTAAGTACAGGAGTGTGGGTTTGTGGTGACACAGTGTGGCGACTTACCCTACGAATCCTGAGTACCTCCTAAGTACAGGAGTGTGGGTTTGTGGTGACACAGTGTGGCGATTAATGAATCCTGAGTACCTCCTAAGTACAGGAGTGTGGGTTTGTGGTGACACAGTGTGGCGACTTACCCTACGAATCCTGAGTACCTCATAAGTACAGGAGTGTGGGTTTGTGGTGACACAGTGTGGCGACTTACCCTACGACCTGAGTACCTCCTAAGTACAGGAGTGTGGGTTTGTGGTGACACAGTGTGGCGACTTACCCTACGAATCCTGAGTACCTCCTAAGTACAGGAGTGTGGGTTTGTGGTGACACAGTGTGGCGACTTACCCTACGAATCCTGAGTACCTCATAAGTACAGGAGTGTGGGTTTGTGGTGACACAGTGTGGCGACTTACCCTACGAATCCTGAGTACCTCCTAAGTACAGGAGTGTGGGTTTGTGGTGACACAGTGTGGCGACTTACCCTACGAATCCTGAGTACCTCATAAGTACAGGAGTGTGGGTTTGTGGTGACACAGTGTGGCGACTTACCCTACGAATCCTGAGTACCTCATAAGTACAGGAGTGTGGGTTTGTGGTGACACAGTGTGGCGACTTACCCTACGAATCCTGAGTACCTCCTAAGTACAGGAGTGTGGGTTTGTGGTGACACAGTGTGGCGACTTACCCTACGAATCCTGAGTACCTCATAAGTACAGGAGTGTGGGTTTGTGGTGACACAGTGTGGCGACTTACCCTACGAATCCTGAGTACCTCATAAGTACAGGAGTGTGGGTTTGTGGTGACACAGTGTGGCGACTTACCCTACGAATCCTGAGTACCTCCTAAGTACAGGAGTGTGGGTTTGTGGTGACACAGTGTGGCGACTTACCCTACGAATCCTGAGTACCTCCTAAGTACAGGAGTGTGGGTTTGTGGTGACACAGTGTGGCGACTTACCCTACGAATCCTGAGTACCTCCTAAGTACAGGAGTGTGGGTTTGTGGTGACACAGTGTGGCGATAATCCTGAGTACCTCATAAGTACAGGAGTGTGGGTTTGTGGTGACACAGTGTGGCGACTTACCCTACGAATCCTGAGTACCTCATAAGTACAGGAGTGTGGGTTTGTGGTGACACAGTGTGGCGACTTACCCTACGAATCCTGAGTACCTCCTAAGTACAGGAGTGTGGGTTTGTGGTGACACAGTGTGGCGACTTACCCTACGAATCCTGAGTACCTCATAAGTACAGGAGTGTGGGTTTGTGGTGACTAACCCTCAGAATTCTGAGATTCTTCTATATACAGGGGTGAGCGTTCTGGTTTACACTGTGTGTTGACTTACCCTCAGAATCCTGAGAGCCTCCTAGGTACAGGAGTGTGGCACACATGTCAAATCGGTCATGTATGTCACCTTTCCGTAGCATCCCACGCATGTAATCATATGTAAAACCTGGCAGTGCATTGTCACACTGAAATACATGTATCAACAGTAATTTAAAGTTCTGTCATAAGTAATTAAGTCATGATTAATGATTCTTTATGACATATGATGTTGCTGACACATCAAAGTTCAGTATAAGCAGTGTACATACTGAAGGAGATTTTTACTTATCCTTTTGAAACATGATTTTACGTAAAAAATACTGTTTAGATAGTAAAGACTTAAAAATCATTTGTTTTCCAAAGCTTACTTTATATATTTAAATTTCACATACAGTTAGGAAAAAGTTGTTTCATACTTTTGTTGCCCTGGGAACTTTGGATATATATATGTATATTTAAACCAAGGAAAGCATTTCCATTTGTAAGGCAGAATTCCATCCCAAACACACGCACATAACCAAAAACATCACTGAACACAATGTAACTATTTATTCAAGTGCGAATCTGACTTACCTTTGCAAAAGCTGCTCTTAAGGTTTGGGCAACAGAAATGTCTTTCTTTTCGAGCTGAAATACAAATCTTTAAAATCTTTACCAATTCAATATTTACCCAAATCTATATAACTTGTGGGTTTTTCCAGATGATCTATACCAATACATCTTTCTCCGTACAAATCTGTATTTCAGATTCAACAAGTTGAATTTCAATATATCAATATGGCATCTATATCTATACTTGCAGTCAAACGACTCTACAAAGTCTACCCTATAATTAATTTGTTAAATCCCTTTTTGAAAAGAAGTATGTCTAAATCATCCTATGGAACAATCTTAATTAATAAATTTGATGCTTGGTTATTGAAAAAATAATGAAATACAACAGGAAAGACTAAATCTCCATAAGAAATTTCAGCTTACAAAATAAATAAATAAATAAACATTGAAGCTAAAGGAAAAATTGCTAATATGAACAAGTTGAAATAAGTTAATGCTATATATATATGACCTACCCTTTCCAAGACTGGTCCAATAACCACATCCACAATCATTTTGGCATACAGGGCTTTGTTGCTGTCCCCCATTGTCATAATCGGTTCTCGTGCTCAGTGATCAGAAAATGAAGACTTCATATGACATAAAAACTCAGAAGGTTGATAATTGGCTGGTTACATGGTTGTACTATGAACCATTCAGTTGTCACTGGAAATATACACAGGGAATCTGAATATCATGGCAGAATTTTTTTATTATTTAAAGTTAGAAAAAATTATTAAGAATCACAATACAAAATTCTCCTTGCTTAACAAAGGAAATAAAAAAATAGATGTTATATCACATATTGAATGTAATATGTTTCTTTTATTTCAAACTTTGTAATATATAATAGAAAGAAGCAAAGCTCTAGATGCCAACCCCAAAACAAATTGAAGAAATATGTGTTGATAATAAAGTTGATGTATATCCAGTAAGCACCTGCCTTAACCATTAATTTTTAACAAATATGCATAAGTGATCCATTTTGACATTTGGTGATTATCATGACAGATAGTGACAAATGGTAAACCGATATAGCATCTTTATAACTTCTTCTGCTTTCAACACTAAAGCAACGATGATAAAATCATTGAATGAATGAGTAACAACCATTTCTTTAATATATTAGATCAAGAAATAACAAACAATTCAATGAGAGTTAGTATTATTTCATGCTGGATATCAAATTTTCTTGCATTATTATGCAGCATAGCGTCAGCAAAATCACATTTTACCCCAAGGTATGAGATATAAATGTATTTTATCCATTGGTTTTTAAAATGATCTGTAACACTGGTTTTTGTGAAGATAATGCTGAATATTTATTATTCCTCAATCCCAACATGGAACCAATGTTACAGAGGTCATTCTTTATTGTAATGCCTCCACTAGGATTCAAACCTTGGCCCTCTGGCTTACTTGTCTGGTGCTCAACTGATCAAGATACAGAGAAGTTCTCTCAAGTCGAATGGTATATTGCAGGTAATATTAACAGGGTTACTCATAGAATAAAATGAAGCAATGTTTGAGATGACAATACAATCATAAAATAACAGTTTTATTGAATAAACATGCATTTATCAAAGATAAGAAGAAGCTAAAATTTCCTGAGGTAGAAACCAATCACAATGACTATGGATGACCAACTCAAAAGACTGCTATTAAAACGACCATTGCACATAAACACGAATATGGTGCGACAATAACTCAAAGAAGGATCTAGCACAAGTATGGCCTCTCTAGAATGAGAGATTTTCAACGTATTGACATTATTTGTCCTGTTATGATGGTCTGGATAATGGAGACATGATATGATCATTTGTACTACATGGTATCCAGCATCTCGTGATATACTGAAATTTGTGGTATGGTAGCCTATATAGGATTCTATAGTATTTTACAGCCTGCTGACAGAAGAAAAAGCGTTCCACTTTCAACATATTTTTGCAATAATCCTGTCACTATTTCGAATGATTACCTTTGATCTACGTGTAGCAAATTACAGGCCTGAAATAATCGATATTCTTTTTTGGAAAAAAAAATCAACACTTGTCCACGATCACGGACCACACCCATAAGAAACCCTTATTTTGTCTTAAGACTTGTCAACTGTCCCAAACAGGTAAGACATTTTTCATCATCATCCATAAATATTTAGTAATCATGTTATGCAATAATTTCTAGACTTAAACATGTTTCTGAAATTGACATCAAGTCGAGATTATATCGTATAATCTGCAAATAGTTACATTTTTACCTGTCACTCCAAACTGTCCGCGATACTTTTTCCAGGAAGTAAAAACTACCTTCACACAGAAGAGTTCTAACTGTTAATTAAACGGGGTTATTTCCCTTCACCAAGTGGGTCGACCGGTTGATTAAATCACATGCGCCCGTTTCTATTATTATCTATACGTAATAATATATTTTAAAATTGAATGTACATTTTACGGTACCTGGAATTTCTAATTGACGGCAATGATGCTGGATTTGCGCTTCACACAGTAAAAATGAGAAAACCTCTGTGCATGCAGGAGGGGACTATAAGACTGACTTTTAAATTTCATCTGTGTTATTTTTCTATTATCTTCTTACTAGTGTTATAAATATATTGCCCTCTAAGTAACTTTATGTCACTTTATTTATGTTAAAGGTGATTCTCTGGAGGAAGGAGAGGGAGTAATCAAATAACAAATAATTACAAACAATACTTGTGTGAACTCCCACTGGGATTCAGCTCCTTCAAAATTCATGTCCGGTTTGATCAATCGGATGTGCGTGGTAACATTCTATGAATTCGAGATAAGAATCGACGTAAACAGAAAACATATTAGTGAACACATGACTCAAAAAGGTGTTGTGTGTAGATTAAATCCACGCCCTATAGACTAAAGAAAAATCTCCTACAAACGAAAGTTTTAAAATGACCCGTGTCAATTTTTTCGCAGTGAAAACTAACAGAAATAAGATTCTTCAGATACCAACACATGTACCTTTGTCTGATACACAGAGTGATCACCTGTACTAAAACCCGTAACACAGAGAAATGTCCTACTCCTAGACTTAATCTTCAATTTGCAATCATGAATACGTCATTTCTAGATTTAGCTAGTTAAGTTATTCCTTTTAGACAATGGATTCCGAAAATATACATGAGTTATCAGAAAAGTAGTTCTTATAATACAACCAGTAGAAGATTAGAGTGTGACGTTTCCATGACTACAAGGTCATCTTCATCTTATAAAACAACCAGTAGATGATTAGAGTGTGACGTTTCAATGACTACACTGTCAACTTCATCTTATAACACAACCAGTAGAAGATTAGAGTGTGACGTTGCCATGACTACAAGGTCATCTACATCTTATAACACAACTAGTAGATGATTAGAGTGACGTTTCAATGACTACACTGTCAACTTCATCTTATAACACAACCAGTAGAAGATTAGAGTGTGACGTTTCCATGACTACAAGGTCATCTACATCTTATAACACAACCAGTAGAAGATTAGAGTTTCATCAAATGACCTGTGCAGAGCGAACCTGCATCCAATTCACCTGTGAGGAACCTTGACACCCTGTTGTAAAGAAAGATGGCGGTACAATCAAGGTATTGGTCTAAAGGGAAAATGTCGGACCATTACCTCTACTTCCGATCGCAGCAAAAGTTTGGCGTTATCAGAACAAACTCAACCGACGTGAGACGATTGTCATAGAAGAACAAGACAAGAACAAAATTACACCCATAGCGCCATGAAAACATGCAGATACCCTAATGGGCAATCCAGAGGGTTAACAACGAACTTAGGCATTTGATAAAAGCAAAGAGACTAAGTGACGAAACTCCAAGGAAAAGAACAAAACGGAAAGACAAGCAGTCGTCCCTTAAATCAAAGACCTGTCAAAAACCATTCATAGGATTGACAGCCGAGGCCATGGCACTGTAACAGCCATGAAGCTACCATAAACAACATTTCGATATCTTTCATATCTGTGTACCTGATAATTAATCCGTTCTATATCTGTTAGAATTGCATTGATGTGTAACAAATCAATTACCAGTGTTCTCAAAGCATACGTGTTCAGAATGGCACTCGAGCTCTCTCCCCTGGTCAATGTTTTGTTATCTAATTCTATAACGAGGCAATTACGTCATCTACTGTTAATGGTTTAGTGTATGTGGTTCGTTATAGTGAAAATGGTTTACTTACATTTCAAGTTTTCGTTACCCAGGGTTACGCCTCTTTTGTGTCATTAATCTATGTTATTCACCTGTCTACAAATCAGTATGGACAATGGTCAGCTCCGTTTTATATATTCGTTTTGGAGACATATCTGGAAGTCAGATTACCAACCAGCAAAGGGACAACACTATGGATTACCGAGTGTGATTAGAACTCTGCCATTTCATTGGACAGATGAATTTTACAGAACTGGACGTCCGTCTATATATTTTTTCATATATTTTGGAATACCAACATATACGGACTTAATTATCATCACTTTCCAAACTGGCATTATATTGTGATTAAACATTTAAAACATCATCACAAATGAACTTTGAACTTCCTGTTTTTTGTCTCATCACATAATATACAAAACAAATCGTAAGAAACAAAACAAAACAGATTTATATGAAATAACCTAACAAGACTCTCTGAAACATCCTAGTCCATCCCAAGGATAAAACACCCGAAAAGAACGTCTCAGAATGCGTATACAAAGCCGGATGCAAGAACTGCGACGCATCATACATCTAAGAAACTACAGTCAGCAAAGCCGAGAGTACACTGGAGCTCCTGGGCAACATAGGAAACATCTGTGTTGGCATACGAGGATTGGGAGTCGATCATTGTCATCAGTGGACCAAAGGGAAAACAGATTTGTAACAGTGGTGAGATATGAGGAGCAACAACGGTGCAAGGGTAGAGCCTGACAGCATGTATCACGGACTCCATGGAATCTTCCCGGGTGCAAAATCAACCATCTAATAGTTGTAAGAAAAATAAGCCATGACTCCAGCATCTAACACCCATCCACCTCAAGAATGGCAGAGTAGGACACTCACACTTTCTAAATATGGATGTGTACTTTTGGAAGACAAATATAGATTTAATACCATATGTGAAATCCACTCCTTTGACAAGGAAATATCAAACACAAACGCCACGGAAAAGTTGCACATTGTTCTGCTGAATGGGAAACCTTACTTGTATACACAATTCTGCTGCTCAGCCTTTGTTTCTGTTTTCAATCACAATGAAGACTCCTAATGTTCTGAGGACAAAATAATGTCCATTTCTTGTGAGCTTTTATGCTTTAATTGGCAGGTTTCAAGAAAAACGGAAAAAAGGAATCATAAATTGGCGGGTTTCATAGATAATAAAACAAAAATTAGAACATATTCATTATATTGTATCATGTTTTGATAAATCAATCCATTAAAAATATGTGAGAGGAAAAAGAGGTTTACCGTAGCCTGCCTGCCACGTCGGCACGGGTCAGACCTTCTATATATGTACTTGACCTTCTTTTGAAATCACCAGGTATATGGAAATTCACCGCTGATTCGGATACTGACATTTGATATTCTCATGTCTCATCAGGTTTCAAGATTTAGGCCCTTAGGGTCACTGACGAGTCCTAGAAGGACAAAACAGCTGTATGATGCAGAATATTAGTTGTTTTTTCTTATTAGATGGAGTTATTCACTGTTCGTTCTTTTATCCCGGACTTCATTTTCCCATTGGAGAGTGAGTCGGTTAAAAAGTGTGTACACTATCTACTCTATCTTGAAATCACAAACAGGGATCTGTGCTCCAATTACAACGGGCTGTGGAAGCTTACACCTAGATGAGAAAAACAGATATGATGTAGATATATATAAGTAGCAATCGGAGGGGTCTTGTATCACTGAAGTATACTTCCGGTATCACGGGGTTAGCATCCGGTGCCAATTAATAAGTTGAATGACGTATATTTTTTATTAGATATCATAAATGATAGAACAGCTGAACGAAAAGAAATCATGCCGAGTGCCATTTAATGTGAGGGCATCGAGGGGAGATAGCCTATGTGCGGTAAAATTAGTATCATGTATCGGAAGGGGAGGGGTGTTTCCTAAGTACCCTAAAACAACAGCATTGTACATTGTATCGCTATGTCTCGAAATGTGTTATTCAAACTCACGGAGATAGGATAGATAGTATCAACGGAACACGTTTCACGGGTACCCACGGAAATAAAAGCTGAACTTCTAGATGGGAAAGCGCCTTCTCGCCACCGGGATACTAACGACGCCATCCAAGACACTAACGACTCCACTCGGGACATGCACGACGCCACCGGGGCACTAACGACGCCACCGGGATACTAACGACGCATCCGGGGCACTAACGACTCCACCCGGGATATTAACGACGTCATCCAAGACACTAATGACTCCACTCGGGCACGAACGACGCCACCGTGGCACTAACGACGCATCCGGGATACTAATGACTCCACCCGAGCAATAATGACGCCACCCGGGACACTAACGCCTCCATTAGGATACTAACGACTCCACCCGGGGCACAAACGACGCCATCCAAGACACTAACGCCTCCATCCAGGATACTAACGACTCCACCGGCACACTTTCGACACCATCCAGGACACTATTGATGCCACCGGCGCTATAACGACACCACAATGGACACTAACGACGGTGTCTACTGAAAAAAGTGTGTTATAATATCATGATGTAGCGAACATGTTCTGTGATATCCAATAAATTGCAACCTGTTGGGGAATCAGAGTTATCATTGCGTACAGACATGGACAATTCACAATAGGGAACTTTAAGGAACCAATGTATGTACGTGCTAGTTTGAACCAGCATTTCATGAGAGGACACCTACAGGAAGTAGGCTACGTCACCCGGTGTCACGGTAATGATTGGGTTAAATAACATAGATGTTACTGTATGTTACTAAAAGTGTCCAGTCATCTGTGACAAAGGTCATCATTATTCCGGGAAAGGATGACCTCATCAACTCGCCGAGAGGTGGTGGGGGAGCTGAATATCGCTTAATCTTATCTCATACCATATTAGTGACAATATAATATTTTCAGCTGATGACATTGCGACGCTATAGAGGTTGAAAAACAACAACTATCAATTACTAAACTAATTTCTTTGTATAAACAACATTTTAAATACAGCAAACTTTATCTGTATACCCCTTTAGGGCCTCAGTCGTTGGTGATCCCACTTCATCGATACATTGATGTTAAT